AATTCTTTAAAAATTTTATTTTTAATTTAAATGTGAATTTGCTATAATAAAACTATAAAAAACTTTTTTTTTGCTATAATTCATTTAGATTATTAAAAAATAAAAAAAAGAAAACTTTATAAAAAATTTTCTTTTCTTTTTCGAAAATTTCCAGAAAAAATATTCAACCAGACCCCTTCGAACATTTCCTCCTTTTTTTTTCCTTATTGCGAAAATATATTATTATTATTATTATTATTATCATCGAAAAACGTTTTTTTTCTAACTCTATACGATTCCTTCATCTTTTTTCCATGAGCGATAATGATAATGATAATAATAATAATAATAATGTTACATAATAATTTTTTTTCTGTTGAAAAAATAAATAAACGTTAAAGTTTTTATGACGTCATTTGTTTTGTTTTACGTTATCGAAAACGAGCGAACCTTAATTTTTAATGTTTTTACTATCAGCTGGCATTTTAGTCAAATCGACTTATTTTAAATAAATAATAATAATAATAACTATTATTATTACATTTATTTATTTATTTACGTTTTCCATGAAATCTTTCGTTGCAAATTTTTTTTTTTTTTTTAAATTTAAATTTAATAATTATCTTTAAAAAATTTTTCCGTTCGAAAAAAATTCTATTTTTTTTCCCCCTAAATTTTATTTATTATCATCATTATTATTATTATTATTATTATTATTATTATTATTATTATTATTATTATTATTATTATTAAAAATTGAGAGTCGGAAAAATTTGTTTAAAAAAAAAAAAAAAATATTTCGAGATTTGCGAAACCGGGGCCTTTTTTTGTAAATGTTGAGTCCAAAAAGTCTAATGACCCGATCGACTGACTACCCAACAAAGAAGAATGTTTTATATCTATCTCTCTCTCTCTCTCTTTCTCTAGTTAGGTTCGGAAAATTTTAACGAAATCTTTTATTATTATTATTATTATTATTGGCAAAATCGTCATTATTACAACGTAAATTTTTTTTTCCCCTACATTTTTTCTTTCTTTTTTTTTCTATTCTTTTCCTTTAGGGATGAAAATGGACGACAAACGAACAAACGAACAAACGAAATGAAAAAAAAAGTTTTAAAGATGTTTGCGTTATAAAAACAAAAACAAAAACAAAAATGGCGTCGTTTGAATTTATCTTAATGACCCAAAAAAAAAAAACGATGAGGTTCAATCATCGGCTCGGAAAAGTCTGATTATATTAACAGTGAAAAGCCTGTTTTTTTTTCTCTCTCTCTCTCTCTCTCTCTCTCTCTATCTCTCTTTCTCTTTTTAATGCCATTTGCCACAACCTTATCAAAATTTTTTTTTCTTTTTTTTTTAAACGTGTGTTTTTTCAAGTTCAATAAGGCACGATTCCAAGAACTTTTTCTAATTTATCTCATTTGTTTGTTTGTTTGTTTGTTGTTTGTTTTTCGTTTTTTTTTTCTTTCCCCC